GTTGTTGACTTCGATGGTAGCGAACAATCCCACCACTGTCAATTCCAACTTTCTCTTCATCAAAGTTATTAGTGTCAGTGCCACCCCAATGAGAGTATCACGTAACATCTTAAAGTTGCTCAACTGTAAAACATGTGGGATCGTGCATTAACAACTGTCAATATGTGCTCTTAAAGCATGACGCCACAAAAGTCACAAGGAAAACGCGTTAGTAAGAAATACCCTTTGATATGAAGTTGCACATCATAATCAAATGCACCAGCCTACCTGAGGGTGGTGATCTAATTTTTGCGAAGTAATACCCCAATTTGGCTTGACCACTACGAACGTCCAGCGAGACATTGTATGATTTGTTGTGTTGCAGGCCCTCAAGAGTGGATGCTCCCTGTGAGAACTTTGCACTTGTCCCAATCACGTTGGCAGTTGAATTAGCTACTACTGCAGGTAGCATGATTTGACCTGTGATAAAAGAATTTATTTTAGTAAACCTGAAAGCACATGAGACGAATATGCTATAGTGTTTTTGCATAAAAACAGGTAGGAAAACAACAAAAAAGCGAACCAACAACAGGGTAAATGATAAGCAAGGAGAGTTAGTCTGTTTGGTTGAGAATTCGACCAAATTTAAACTATGGGTCCCTTTGTACAACGTGGTAGTAAAGCCCACTGCCGCAGTGTGCGCCAGGCGGACTGAGCATATAGGACGGAGCGAGAGTGTGGCAGTGGAAAACAACTTCCACCGATGAAACAGGAGTGAGGAAAATGCTCTCACCAGGCAGCAACATTAATATAGGCAGTGAAAAACCCCAACCGAGATGAGTGAGAAGGATGCACGCAAACTTACAAACTTTGCGTGGACATGCAGCGGCAAGATTCGAGGCACCTACTACAAAACAGAGCTGCGTCAAACATTTGCACAAAACCACTCCTCATCGTCTTTCAGGTATTGTAAAAATAGCAAAATATTGGCTGCCAAAAGGACGGAAGTCTTTCCTCAAACTTCCATATATTACTACCTATTTGAATGGTGATAAGTTGAAAGATATGAACTTCCCCAAATTTGAGTACTTGTGCCACACCCACCCTATCTACTTATCTATTTCGCGGGAGATACGCAAAACGCACTGTAACATCTATCTTAAATAAACTCTACTCCGGTTTCATATTAATGGTTATAATCTAATAGGACATCAGGCTCAACACGCATTCACAGGGCCGAAAAACTCGTGATTATAGGTTAAAAATTAGAAAATTAACCAATACTTGAAAAGCACTTATTTGTTCGTAAAAAAAACACACGGAAACAGTCATGATTGTAAATATCAAAATGTACCAGTAATGATCGACCTGCGTTTACGACCACCAATTTGCAAGGGAGTTAGTAAGATGGTGCTACTGAAATACATATCAGCGTCCACCCTACCCGCACATTCTACTCCTTGCTTGAAGAAAAGTAAAACCAATTAAAATTACTAAACGAGGAACAAAATCTCACAACAGGCACGATTTCGTCTTCAAAACAAAGGCAGTGTAATACTAATCGGTCCCATGTCAAATTGCTTAGGGTATGGGCTCTCCTAACTAGACTTTACCCGCCAAACAGACAGCAAATGACACCAGATGCAGAAATTAAGACACTTGAAAATACTGTGCCATGAAACTCCACATTTTCCATATCGTAGACAGATGGTTTATTGTCAAAATGGTGCTTTGATGCTGCTTTAAAGTCGCCTAATGTATGCGGCAGAGGCAAGGTTTCACGCTCAGCAGCGCTCAGGATTTGATGGCGAAATCAGGTTTCAAAGGAACCGCGTTTCCAATCTCCCAATCAATGAACATGCATATTTCTTTCAAAGTCAAGTTCACTCTTCTTCATTGAGTATGCATAAGAAGGACATTTTGCCTCGACTTTCGGTGAAAAGCTTCCGTTTACTCAATCATTCTCTGTCTGTTTGATAATCCACTACACCCCACAGCACTTTTTACAAGCGTCTTTGACGAAATAGGAAAACGAACTAAATGTGTCATTTTGAAAATGAAAGGCACGCGAGATGTAAAAAAAGGTTGAGGAGCTATTTTGTACGCTTTTTAGTTTCAGAGCAGACTCTTACAAGTTAAGCGTAAGATATTATGGAATTCGCTCCTGGCTTATTTTATGAAGGAAATTAGTTAAGAGCAAGGTTTAGCCTCTAGCGTCCCAATATCTCTTAAAGAAGTAATAAATCCAAGACCCACTTTATCCACGTTTATGTAGCTCCACTGCATTCAAGCTATTAAAACGCATGGGGACATGAGTATAAAACAAAAAGCCTCCTTCGACGTTTATAAGTTTAAGTCAAATTTCATAAAAGTTCAAACTTAACAACCACGAAGTCGACACATATAACGTGCCTTAAATGAATAGGATCTTTACTTCTCTCCCTATTCCTTCCCTTACATTCTAGCGTGAATCAATGGAGAAAAGGCGTCTTTACTATACCAGATTTGCGGTAATAAGCAGTCCGACCAATAATTCTTACAAAACACACTTTAAAACCGGCCTCCATCTACCTTGCGTACACCAACTACAATGTTCACAATATGTGAATGAGAAAAAATGCGCTTCGTAAAAGCACCCAAAGCAAATTAATTTACGCCATTGAAACAAAACATATTCCATGCACTTTGCAATGGGAAGAATTGGCCATCAAAGTGAAGGCGAGAGGTGACCTGAGCGCGCATTTTGACATCCACAAGGAGGGCTTTAAATCCACCCGCAAATTCATTAGTCGGCGTCAAGGTCTCGTTGTCCGATTGGCTGGAAAGCCGACTAGGGAGTATGCCGCAGGAGACGACAAGGAGGCGCGAACGACCTTGAAGTTTGACGCTCCGTAGTGAGGAGAAACACGATAGCGTCAGATTTTCGGTTTTCTCAACGGAAACAGTGCATTTCTGAGCTCAAAGACCCTATCATCATGCATTCAAGGCGATCTAGAAACCCAACCTACTGTTCTTCTCAATTGGTAAAGTTGGAAGGGAAGAAACAACTCACTATTCGCAATTTTTCAACCATTTTAAGGAACCGTTACCCCTTCCACACCGTAAATAGTTTCAGATTTCAGCAAAAAGTTGAAATAATGCCTAATTTACTTCTTCTTCACGGTAATGCAATAGGACTCGCGAACAAGCAGTCCTGCGAACAGCAATTCGCACACAAATTACGCTCCCTCCATAACACTTACGGCCTCCGATTACCTTCCACCAGATGGACAGCCTTCCCCAAAGCGACCAGGTTAAAAACGATTATGAGCGAATGGGATTCCCACCAAAATCCATTTGAGATGCCACACTCCAGCATGACCTAGGAGACTATCAGCTCGCCATCGTCTGCCTTTCCTTTTCCCAGGTCATTGCACCACTGTCATTGGTGTTTGCAAGAGTGGGTGTAAAAACTATTGGAAGCCGTGGACACAATACTCAAAACAAAACGGAAATGAGTATTCATTACACCGTGAAATGACCAGTTTTGATTGCATGACAGTTCTTCTTCCACACTTCTGCCTCCGCTGTTTTACTATAAAGATGTTATTGCAATGCCAAGACCCGCCTCTAGAAAATAGCCAGACACCGCAGCCCCTCACATTTCCTCTACTCTTCCTAGCGTTAACAATACCAACCAATCCTTTTGGCAAGCTAGTGAAATGCACGCTCAGACATGGGACTCAGGGCGTCGCATATAAGTGCCTCTATCAACAAACGAAACATAAAATAAATGCAGTGTTTCAGCGAACTCACTTTATGTCCAGGAAGGTAAGAGAAGTCGCTACGTTTGTTGGGCTCCTCAGCTTAGTTATGGCAACTCTCCACCTCCGAACGACCAATCCATTGGCTCAGTCGCAGCTCCAACTCGTCTCAATTCGAAGGACGACTGCACGGACATTCAATGGAAGCGCGCGCGTGCAACAACCAGAAACAGACCTAAATCGTTAGGGCAGGCATTTGATTTGCAACTTCAAGAGGTACCAAAAAGGAGGGCTGGGGACAGGGAGTCTATTTTTGGAGGGAGAATTGCGATGCTTCTCTTAAGGCTTGGTGCACTTTTGCAGAAACCATATATATCATAAGTATTTTAGGGCAAAAAGTGGGCCTCCTGCTCCTGAGTAAGGCTGAAACAAATTAATCAGAACCACCAAAATTTTGGTTAACCCAAAAATCCGGAAGCTCCCAAAAAGTATGCCTGAAGTTGGAAGGAGAATTTTGTCATTTGTGCTACTGCCTATGTTTCCTAAAATAATAGAAAAATAAAGAGGAATTTGTAAGACTTTTTTGGTCAAAGATAGTAAACTAAGTTATTTAACAGTCCTAAAGCAAATAAGTGGAAGTGAGAGAGGAAGATTTATAATGACAACTCCGGTTTTATAAGGTAACACTGAATACTTTTTGCATAACCAAAAGGTCATCGACTCCGTTTCCATGCAAACATACTAGCGTTTCACTGAGTCAAGTAAACCAGAAGAAATCCTTTCAAGTAAAAAAGCTTGGGCCCATTTAGTTAGCAACTACATTTTCCAATCCAATGAAAAATTATCGGAAGACTTGATAACCATTTTAATAGACATCCGGAGCAACGAACTCACATGGGAGATAGTTTAAGTGGAACCAAGGGAACGAATGCCAAGCAGACTATAACGCTTAAAAATTACGAAGAGTTGATTCAAACTGAGAGTTTAGCACTGCTTACAAAAAACTAATTCTGAACTGCGAGAAATATGCTTGTTAGTAGGCAAAGTTCCTTTCAAACCCGTTTATGTTAAACAAATTGACATAAAAAATATTTGCTTCACCCTTTTAATGACAACTGCATTTGTGCCATGAAAAACACTTTTTCCAGAGGGGAAAATAAGTGAACCGTTTCGTAAACCGCAGTGACAAGAGAGCTGTCAGGAAACTATAAATATCACGGTATAAGCGTTCTCCTGCTTCGCGACTAAAGTAACAAAACATACCTAACGACATATTTAAGTAGCTACGTGGTCACCCACTGCCACTAGGCCCATTAAATATACTTCAGCTAAAGCTAAAACAGTCTCATGGCTAGTTCTTCTTGCCTTATTGCTAAGCAGACAAAGATCACGAAAAATTGAATATTATCTGGTATCTAACTCTACTGTTTCGGGCTCAAAATTTTCATTAACAGTGAAATCTACTTAGCTGAGATCAAATTAAATGCTTTTTACATATTCAAATACAATCATTCTCACTAGAAAAGTACAACAGAGACAATAAGAATTCCGACAGTCCTTCAACTCTAAAAATGACATTTCAGAATTCGTAAACGAAGCACAACACTACAGCAGGCAATAATAAATTACTTCACAGAAAAGGACAAGCAGCAGGATATGAATTATTAAAGTAGCTTATGCAGATCCGTACAATTACCCACAATCATACCACTCCATCTATTCAATAATGCCTGACGTAGCGACCTGCAGACCTGACTAGAACACCAGCACACACGACCTGACAGAAGACCCAGTGGGTTTTTGGAGCTGCTGCAATATTTCAGGCGGCCGACACATTCTAGTAGAGGACAATCTGATTGTAAAGTAGTAAGTCATCTGAGTTGGAGTCTTTGTAAAAGCCGTTGCCTGAAGACCTGTCGCAGTAAAGAAAGCAATTAACTACAACCAGCTCTACATTATGCAAACTAAGAGAGCGTTAAAGTAAATACCTTCACATCGCACTTAAAGCACGAAAAATAGGAAACCCGAACACTGCTTCATGATTATGGAACCACAAGGGTTACAATAGTAAAATCAAGAGGGTTGAATTCACAATCGGTGTAAATAACAACAAAAATTAAGGTATCCTTTCAACTTTCATTGGGTTTACGTACACCTTCTCAGTTAACCCACGGCGACGTCGAAGGGCCCACCGTCCGTGTTAAGTTCGGCAGTCCACCTCAGTGGCCTTAAGGCCAAATCGTTGACGTATAAGAACAAAAACGTGGAATATACAGTTCTACTCTGACCACGGTTTGCCCTAAACAGAACCAAAATGCCTGCATTGCACTTTATTCTTAGATATCATCTTACTTCTAGTTCACGGTAATTAGATGTGCGCAAGATTGTGTCATTTAATCTAAAAATAACAGTATTCAAGTTTAACCCCTGTTTCAAAAACAACTACGTGTTTGTAAAGAACAGCAATGAATCACAGCTTGAATTTTAAGATTATTAATTTTTGCATTGCTTACATATACCTAACAAACCTGTTTATCATTGCAGTAATCTCGATGAATATTTTTATTTCTATTTGCATTTCCAACCAGTGATTCATACTTATTAGTAGGTTACTCTGCATACTGATTAAGCACGTACTATAATGGGCGAGTTTGTAGTTTCCTCCTAACTTTTGAGCAGCGTGTGGCAGGCATCAACATTTTTAAGCTGTTGCGCCAATTTACTATTTTCTGAGGAGCGTTATGGAGCGACATGACAAGTTCGCTTATAAAACCTCCATCCACCCATTTTACTTGTGCCAAAATACACTACATCCCAAATTCATTTGCCAGGGTGCATGAAAATTCGATCATTCTGTTGTTTTTGCAGAATAACTCTAGCATGCATTGAGAACAACTACTTAGTTGTACCTTTTGAATTGCAGAACCTTGACCCGTTTTACAGCTTGGAAGTAAACCATTTCGTGGCAGTAAAATTAAACCTAAAATAACAAAAAAGCAAAAGTGCTAAATTTGTGTGGTCGATTGTCAGCAGTTTTTCACTATGAGAGGTCACATCATACACTGGGCTGGCGAGATACAAATGCACCTCCTGTGCACTGTCCATATTCGTGGATGACACTAACACCACTAACTTTGAAGGAGGGGAAGTTAAAACTGACAGTGGTGGGATGGTTCGTCACCGTCGAAGTCAACAATGGCGGTTGATAGACGAGAAATCGCAGTGTAAGTGAAAGCAAACACCTGACACGGTCATGAAGTCATACTGATAGTCTGCCAGAACCCACCACCCACCTTCAAGTAACCCTCTTTCCACTCCTCATTCGTGGTGTTGCCACTTCTGTGCCTTTGGCACTAAGGCAAGATGTGCCGGGTAAGTGCACTACTGGTGTGGCAATGTACTCTCTACTACAAAGTCCACAAGTGTGTGCAGCAATGGGTGCTTCTTCAATGCAGCGAAGCAGTCTGTTGGATGAAGGTACACGTGTATGTGGGTGTGTATGCGTGCAACAGTTCAGCATTCTTAGCTGTTATTGCAAAGGTACTTTAAAAATCAAGAGAAGTGTGGAAGACAGAGAAGAGTAAGTGGAGGATGAGGTAAGCACAGATAGAAGATGCCTGCTTAGTAAAAAAATAAGGTGAATCGAGCATTACTTTCGTAGTTATTGTGGCGACCCGCAATTCCTTATTGATTTCCGCTTGCTACACTTGCTGTCGTTTTGACGAAGAAGACTAAATTCTTTTTAACAAAGGTTGATAGGTTCAAATGGTAATCGAGAGGCGCGAGTTCAAAATAAACAGACCATAAATGAGCTGTATAATGTATACAGGCAACAACTCTGACAGCTCGTGCCGGCTTTGGAAGTTCTCAAATTGAGAACATAGTTTGGTATGGGGAGCAGGTGCTGCCCCTCTGACGTACTACTGATAGGCATTTAGTAACCCAGAAGTTATAAAATAAGTGGTGAGCGAGGAGGTAAAAATGAATGATAATTACTATATGATTTATGCTTTAAAATTCTTCGACAAAAACAAATTCACTGTCCAACTTACCTACCCTCGAGCGATAGAGAGTCAAGTCTGCTTCTTAGTGGTGCTTCCTATTTCCTCATATTTCTTTATCAACTTTAATGCAGCACTCGCATCTTTTTTTGCACAAGTGTCATTAGCTTGAAGATGATCAAAGCATAAAAGCCAACCTATTGGTTAATCCTGGTTATTTTTGCCTAATATAAAAATTCAGCCCAAAAGTGAGTTTGTTGTTTATTTCCAGATCTCGGAGCCGTATCGCGGAATGGAGTATATTATCATTATCTGATTACTCTCTTTGTTCTCAATATCAGGCTCCTACACGGAATGGGCTTTATGCAAATTCCCAGTCGGGTTAGTCCTAGACAGACGACCCGCTTTCGGTCGGTCAACAGGCTGCGTGGAGGAGAACTCACTGATCGTCTTTCAAGTCCTAATGCGAAATCAGACTTCTGAGTGAACATTTCTCCTTTACCTGCTTTCACTAATATGGATCCAAGGATCAGAAAACTTCCTAAGTGTGACAACGTGCAAGCAGTTGGACATTCCATCCAAGAAAAATGGAACAAATAAGCACTGCAAAAGTGCTGGTAATCTCTTGGAAACCTGAGCTAACTTGGTATAAAATCTATCAGCATTACTAACATTTTCCTTTAAATTAAAGAACAATCAAATCAATTAGTGAAAAGTTTGCTTTTATTTTTCCAAATTTCCAAAACCCTTTCCCCGTAGGCGGTCACCATTTCGTCGTCGAAGTATCAAAAAGTATAAAAATTCTTCGTAAACCTCTGAGTACGCTATGTAATAAATAGAAAAGTGGGCACGGTAAGATATAAGAGGAAAGTCACTTGTTGGTACTGAGTCAGCCATGATGGTGGAGTAGTAAGAGGCAAGCCGACAACTGCAATCATTGAACAACTGAAAGATCTCTGAAAGGCAGGGATGATGTAGTATGCCTGACGACACAAATATGTTATCTGCACCCGGATGTGGAAGGGAAATGGTGCAATTATCCTCGAAGAAAGAGGCGATCGTCTGGGAATACAGCATTACGAAATGCGACTGGGAAGATGAAAAGAAAACTGAACTCCCGATAAAGTTAGAAATACACAAACTCAAATCACCAATTCATATACACGAGACTGTAATATCAAACCGAACCATTAAAACAAAATCTGTAATAAATATTTAAATCAATAAATATAGAAATAAGTTTAAGTATAACAATTGCGATTATTTATGTTTTATCTAGTCAGTTGAAACAAAACAAAACTAAATACACTTGGAAAAAAATGGTTGCAAAATGTTTACTTCTAATTAAAAACATTAAAAATGTGTTCATTTGTTTAAAAAAAATTTTATGACAAAAAAATTATTTTGCTGCTCGGTTAAGTTGCTCATTTACTCACGGCTGGTGAGTAATAATAATTTCTACTTACTACATTTCAGTAGCATTAAACTTACCCTACAGATTGGTGAGTGATTTTCTCGAATTAACGCATCTGCCCAGATGTTTTGACGGCCTTCGCTTTAAGTCAGAACGCCTTCATTGCACAGGTTCATTCTGCTGCCTGCTTCATAACTTCTCTCTGTGTGTCTATAGGTGGCACCTTAGTCACCAAATCCTTGCAATGGATCAGATCGGGATTAGAGGTCCATTTTGTGCCCTTGGACAAGAACGTCACCCTCGCCCTAATTCAATGCTATAAAATAGGCAGCACCTGCTCTCCATACCACAGACTATGTTCTCAATTTGAGAACTATGAAAGCTGGCACGAGCTGTCAAAGCTGTTGCCTGTATACATTGTACAGCTCATTTATGGACTGTTTATTTTGGACTCGCGCCTCTCGATTACCATTTGGACCTGTCAACCTTTGTTTAAAAAATATTAGTCTTTCTCGTCAAAATTAAGAATCACCCATGTTAAGAGATGATTGATTAAGCGTTGTCATTTCCAGGTTTTTCTTCCGATTTGCTCTTTCACGTAGACTTCCGTAGCGTACTTAGAAGTAAAAAAAGAACGTATTATTTAAAGACATCACCCTGTTTAAAGGTGACAAAGGATTTTGTACTAAAGTAACATCTTAATGTGTGCATTTGAAAATACTTGTTTGGAAATTCGAGTTGCTCTTTTTGTTTCATTGCCCGGTTAATAACTCTCCTAAAAAAGTCAAATGATCATGTTGAATTTTAATGAAATATCCAAAATCTACCGCTGACTCGAATGAAAACTTGTCACTTTCTTTCATTTTTGGGTGTTTTTTGGCACAAGACTTCACCATAATGTGTACTTAGAGGGAGCATGAATGTGGATGGTTCTCCATGCTACGTGTTCACGGAAGATCTTTGCTGATAATATTACCGGCTCTCGTACCTTACTGTTTCTTGGATCCATAAAGCACTAAATGCTAGTTAAATTGCAGGGGCATTTTTGGATTCCATGTTTTATCCACAGCAAAATTTTCCTCTACATACCAACGGAAGACCATAATATTTTAATGGTCCAGCATTTAATAATCTTACGGCAAAAGTGATCTACCGTTTCACTCTAAACATGGTTATATAAGAAATTAGGCAAGAGGGCTAGTATATATCCCATGGAACCGCATGAGAAGACAAAATTTATTACCACTGACTTTGTGTGCTTCTGTGGAGGGCTTTGGCCGCCTTGGAGCGATGGGGCGAAGTACAGGGAGAAATGTGTCATTTACATAAGGAAAACGTCCTCAGTCATCTAAGATATCCTGTTACAAATTGCCCAAGACTGACATATTTATTTTAACGTAGAACAGGCACACGAATTTAAGGTAAATCGGCTTTATAACATAAATGTAAATGGACTTGTAACTTACAACATAACATACGACGTTATCTCATTATATTCCTTTACCACTTTCGCATCAAGGTAATGGAAACATTCAGCATCTTTACTTCACAGATTTCCTCAATTCAGCTGTGGTTTACTCACTATCCCGCGCTAACCCTGGGTCCGTGTAAGGAATTTAAATTTTTCTAAAACATGTGGGAAAAGAACAAAGTGGCGGAGATAGCGTTGGCTTTGGTAGGGAATGCTTTGCAAAGCATTCACTGATGACTAAAGGAAGGTGGACGTGATGCCTTTAAATACGCAGCTCGATTCACATGCTTGCTTATTCAGCAATTCAGTCCCCTTCAAATTTCACCACTCCTAGCAAAATTGGCAGTGAAGTAAGTTGGCTTGCATACCCATCCACCGGTGCAAGGTAACGGGAAACGCTAGCGAGCATCTTGGCAAAAAAAGGAGCCGAAACAGTGGGAAAGCTAATTAAATCTTTTATTATCACACACCGGTACGCAGTTAGAAGATTGTATCAGGGGAGGACAGAAAGTGGTTTCACAGTGCTCTTTTATGCCCTTGTTATTTGGAGCAGGAACTCCTGTGACAATTGGCTCGCAAACATTGCCACGAGAGACTAACTGAAGTTGCAAATCCTTCCATTCTAGCTCGTTCAAATGGTCCGATTATGCGCTAAGAAGGAGAAATACGACTTCAATATGAGATGATCAGCTGTCACAATGCTTGTCTGACTGCCTTCCCGTAATTGTAACAGCAGAAATGTTGTATGAAAGTGTACCATCCCAATCCCCCTCTCACTGTCATCTCATTTTTGTCAGTTGACCTACTTTCAAGGGCACCATCTATTGTCGGCAATAATAATGGCAGAAAATGCAGTGGAGCCTTCTGGTAAAATAATTTCCTGAATAAAATCAAATGAGGCTGCGGATTATGGTGATCGGGTGAGTAAAATGAATGACAGAATGCACATCGTCACCGCATTTTGTAGGCCATAAATTAACTCCATGCAAGAACGCACACTTCGTTGCTACCCAGTTTTATTACTTCTCAGGTAATTATTACGAGTTAAGATGTCACATATGGGCGCGTTAATTATGCTTAGCACTTGCAATTTCATTCCGGGAAGTTCACAGGCTTGGCAATGGGGGATTGTGTATAAGTTAGCTGCCTCATTCACACACTTTAACAAAGCAGTACCACACAATTTAGACTAGCCGCCTAGATCAAATACAGTCCTGTGCTGGGATTTCTTCCTTCTTACACGATTAAAAATGAAGTAAGGTAAGGCAAAAGGCTGCGT